ATTATTCAAAGCTTATCTTTAGTATAACTAGAAGTTATTGACTTTAAGATGTGACACATAGTTTGACTATTCCAAATTCCCAAATCAAAATTCAACTGAAGGATCAAGTTCTTAGTACTGCTGATTCTTTGTGATTTTTTCTTTTTGATATGTAAACCCACCCCTAACCCAGAGGCGAATGGAGTGTATTGCCTATGAGTTCGACTGTACCAAGTGTTTTCGACATGGAACATAGATATATATGTGAAAAACCAATAAAATCTCATTAAATATTAAATTGTGACCCGTAATTTTGAAAGTACGATGAGTTCAGTGTGAAGAACCTTATGATTGAGCTCATCAAATTTAAGTCTTGGATCAGCCTCTACCTAAACCCCTTACCCAGGAGAAACTTTTAGTGTTTGTTAGAGATATCCATTTACTCTAGGAGATCTCAGTATTGTGTTGCAAAGCATGTGATGGGCGCGTGTTCATTAATCTCCTCCTGTTGCACTGATATGTGCTTTTCCTGGGCAAATCAGTGCCGAGTATTTAATATATGATGTTTACTAAGAAATAGATACCCCTTCCCATCTTAGTGTTGTTGAAATGCCGTGTTGGTGGTCCAGATGTGAAACTGTAAGTCATGTCGACTTTAATTTATAGCGTTTCATTTTCACATATCCTCTAATATTTTCAGCTGCTTTTGATTGCTGGTTGGTGTATATGATTAATTTTCAACTTATTTCCCTCTACATTTTCTTCTATCAATTTAAAATAGTAAGTTAATGGCGTTGGCTGTGCATTCTCTCATTATGCGTGGAGGTTATTGCATATTGTCATCCTGGTTTGTCACTTGCCCTTGGCTTGGATGTTTCATAAGATTGTTATATGTGAAGTAGCCATTTCCTAAGCTTATACCTTTGAAGATCGACATGTTCGGTTGCTCAACAAGTTTAGAGTTTAGGATTATTTACCATTTTGTGTGGTGTAAGTATATGGTAATGAAAAAGGAAATTAATGGATATAAAAGAGAGGAGGACAATTAAGTTATTTACACTAGCATGTTTGAATATGGAGGAATACGAAAGAAAGCAGAAGAAAAATACTGTTCTTCTAGGAACGTCCCATCTCCTTCCTTTCCCTTCCTCCTTTCTATCCATTCACGCACACACACACACACACTCCCTTTCCTTTTGAGTACTTCTAATTCTTGAACCAAATAGTTGCAGTTCTGAAGACTTGCCAACACTTTTGGATATACAAGTTCAAAGATTGCGTCTGTCGTTTAGCAAAATTTTCATTTATATACAGCCTTTGTGTAAGCTGCAGCTGTTATTAATATTTGTTTATGCACTGCAATATTGTGGATTTTACAGTTTTCTCTGCTCATTCTTTTCTCTATCTCTGAACTTATTGCTTTCAAAATTAAAATACATATTACATTGGGGACTAACCATTTATTATGTTTTCAGTTAATTGAGGTGTTGTTGATGGCTTTTTGTGTTTTCAGTTCATACTGTTAGGAGCTGTTCCATTTCCTGCTGATGTCCCTCGCTTGAAGGCTCTAGGCGTGGCTGGAGTGGTTACCTTGAATGAACCATATGAGACTTTGGTCTCAACATCATTATATCTTGTACCGTCTACACTCCCACTTTCACATTGTATCTCATTTTTAAGTCATTACATTTTGTTATACTGAAATTGCTGGTTAACAAGTTTATTGTTATTAACTATGTTGAGTTAGCTATGTGATCGAAACAAGATGGCTGGATTGCCTACCTATATGCAGATTTTGAGTGAACGGGTGTAAACTTGTAAAAGGATCAATTATAACTAGAGGAACATCTTTTGTCCTAATACGCATGAGCAAGAAAACTTCACCATATTGTTTCTAAATGATTGTCGTGCTCCTTATTTATCACTAAAAGAGTGATGATTTGTAAGAAAAAATCATTCCAATGATGCCATTTTACTTATTTTGTAGGATCATGGCATCGATCACTTGGTGATTCCTACCAGAGACTATCTTTTTGCACCATCAGATAGAGATATTGACCGAGCTATTGAATTCATCCATGGTAAGCTTCTTACTCCCAGCTTTCTAGTGTGTAAAATGAAGGTAAGAATCCTTCCCCAGCTTTTATATACTGTGCTTTTGAGTCAAACGGTAAATATATATTATATGTTGCTGGAGTTTGCAATTTCATTACGTTATTTTGATTGTCAATTCATAGTTCTATGCATGTGGCTTTGAAGGTAATGCATCTTGTGGTAAGACAACATATGTGCACTGTAAAGCCGGCCGTGGCCGTAGTACAACAATTGTCCTTTGCTACCTGGTGGGCACCACAACTCAGAGCATATAATTAGTATCTGTTTCATGGTTTTTCTCTATTCTAATATTTCCTCTTGGGTAGGTCAAACACAAGCACATGACACCTGAGGCTGCTTTTGAATATGTCAGATCCATTAGACCAAGGGTGTTGTTAGCCTCCTCTCAGTGGCAGGTATGCTCTTAACCAGGATTCTTGTTCTGCATCGAGGCTTAGTTGTTGTTTGTACGAGGCGCTTATACTCCCGCTCAATTCAAATCCCAACAAAGACAAAATATTCTAGGTGATTCCTCATCTATCTAAGCCTTGGTGGGAGAGTTTTGCTGTATCTGTGCTAGTGGGAGGTCACCCAGTTAAATAGTCGAGGTTGTGCGAAACTGGACCGGACAGGCGGACACTGGCATTTAAAATAAAATCTGTACATTTGAGTTAGAATATGTTAGGATATGTCAGCCAGTCCACTGCAACTTTAGATTTGTGCGTTCATGTCCTCGACTTTAATTTTTTCTGTATGTGTTTTTATTATATGGATATATCACTGACCCTAGAGGTTCAACGGCAAGGTAGTAAAATGAGAGATGTGTAAAAGCACACGTCACTACTCAATAGTCTGAATCCTGGCTGGTGAACCAAGCCCGTATTTAAGAGGATTAGGGTAGAGGGGCAGGCACGTTCTTTGAGTTTCGACGCTGGAAACAAGCGATTTCTTGGTTATTAAAACAAATTATATGTATATATTATTGTTTACTGTATTCTTCATACTCTCTTTTCCAAAAGCTGTCCTTGATAGTTCAGAATCCCTTGTCCTTTCTTGTCTTGTTTTTCTAAAGTTTTAAAACGTCATTTTCATTACTTATACAAATGCAGGCGGTTCAAGAATTCTATGTAAGAGTAAATAATACTGATAGTGATGTCTGTGGAGGTGATAATTCATTGGAAGTCTTGGACTTTCCAGCACAAAAAGAAGTTGCTGCCTTTGATGATGGCTCGGTGGTTCTAGTCTCTGAATCTGACCTTGATGGGTATGAGGAAAGCGTTGAATCAGGTCTGACACGTAACGAAGTGTTAGCAGATTTAAACCTTGCATGTAGAGGTGTTCAGGTTGCTAGCCAGGCTGCAATTTCCCGGCTTTCATTTTTCTGGCTTCGCTATCATTCAAGCCAAAAAATGTCAACGAAGAAGCTAGGAGGTATTGGCGTTAACATCCACGTTTATTGAGATGTCATATCTTGGTTAAGGGAAGCCGAGGTGTTGCCATTCCCTTATGTTGCTTCTCTCTCTCTCTCTCATATATATATCTTAAACCACCCCTTGATCCCCCTTTTTTCGTGTCTTTTGTGGAGCTACAACAATGTTGTTGCGAATGTAATTCAAGTTGTGAGAAGATTATCTAGGCAAGAAGCCAAGATTCAAGAAGTGGACACAGAGAATAATATGTGGTGTTGCGACAGGGCATAACAGTATAGTAAGTTGAGTTGAGTTCTGGAAAGGGAAAAGTGTGAGGCATGCATGTTTTAATGAATTGGATGTTTTTAATGCAAAAAATCTATTTTCTTTCATCACGCTACACACACACATATTCCTGAAATCATTCAGCAAAAGCAAATTTGTCACCTGAAGATAAATTTGTTGCGCAGCATTATGCGTTTATGTATTGTTTCAGGAAAGGTGTAGTGACTGATTTCACAGCTTAAACTCCTGGCACAGAGATAATTTTATTGTTGCTTCAAAAGCTCGCCTTCAGTTGAAATGCAAAATAACTTGATAAATTATGTCAATTCCTGCAGAGCTGGCTAAAGATTTGATATCCTTTATACCACACGCAACTTTGCGTCTTTCACTGAATCGAAATTGTATAAGAAAATTATGTTGTTCAAATAGACTTGATACAATGTGGGTATCAAAATGCTTCTTTGCCCCTTTTTACCCTCTTATATTCAATTCATCTCTTCAGTTTAGAATGGTTGGAATAGATCTAAAATTTAGAGCTTCAATTTATTGGATTTGGTATCTCTACATTCACTGTTCCTTTTGGATCCAATTCAATCTTTTCTCCTCCCTTTTATACCCTCTCATACGAGTTTGTACCCGTTGGAAACTTGGATTAGGTAGAAAAATTTAAAACTTCAATTTAGTGAACGAGGGTATCTATCTCTACATTCACTATCTTTAACTTAGGGAAAATATTCAAATTTGGATCTTTAAAATTTAGAATTGTTCAAATTTGTATCTGTACTATTCAGAATTGTTCAATTTTTCCCTCCATTAAACTTTTGCTCTATTCATGCACTTGCATTAGGAAATAGTTTCCTATTTGCCGTTTGTTATTAAAGGAGTTCTAGCGTCCAAATTCTTGAAAGAAAAAAAATCAAAATTTACTCCTTAATTTTTTACTATAGTTTAAAACTGCCCTTAAATTGAAGCTCCGTTAAGGGTTAATGGCAAATATAAAACCTTTTCATAAACGTGGAGATAATATTAACTCGAAAATTGGTGCTCAGTTTGAATAATACATAGCAAATTTGACTATTTTCCCTACAATTAAAAGTTAAAACTAGGTTCTAGCAAGTATTGTCCAATGAGAAAGGCCAAGGGGGAGGCAAAACGACAGAAAAATAAAAAATAGTAGCACAATGATAACATCAAAGATATCATAAGGGTCTTATTGTTAATATCTAGACTAGATGTATAGCACATCAAAAAGTGAAGATAAAGAGGCAGTGTAAGCATTTGTTTTTGTTTCCCAAATAAACTGCAAAAACAGCCATTTTTGCCAAAGAAGCAGTTGAAGTGACAAAGGCCATGGTGCTGAATTCTTCGATTCTCCTCTCCAACATTTCTTTTCCTTGTAATTCCTCTCTTCCTCAGAGTAACACTTACACACTATTGCTGTTATGAATACTGCTTCTTAGTATAGAAACGAGAAATTAGAAATTGTGGATTTTCTTGGCTGTGGTTGAGGGAAATGTTCAATTTGGCTTCTTAACCTCACTGGGTATTTACACCAAACCAATAGAAACATGACATAGTATTTGCATATTGAGTTCTGCTATACATAATCATGGTTTTAACGCATGTTTTTACTTCATCAAATTACATTTGACCATGATAAGTTTAATTGGTTTGGTGTAAATACCGACAAAGTATTTACCATATTACTTATTTGACTAGCCACACCCTTTTAAGAAGGAAAGGGTAAAATGGGAAACTACTGGGTTTGTTTTATTGTTGTGTATTTTTAACTTTCTTGTCTATGGCATGAGAAAAAAATGGTTCAATGTGTTCTCTAATAGTCTCTTTCTTTGTTTTTTTTTTCCAATTTGGAAAATCTTCGCTTGAACTTGTGGGTTTATTGAGTTGTGTTCTGTTTTCTCTTACCTTGTTTTCCCATTCTAAAGAGAAATTTAGATGTGATATACATGCCATGTTCACTTTGATAACTATGCTGTGAAGAATAATGTGAATGAATGTCTTTTTCTTGTTTGCTCTCCCTCCGAACTAGATTAAATGCAATATTAGCCTCAATAATTCGTTGAACTTAATTACATTTGTTCTAGTAGCATAAGGAAAAGCCTTCCATTTCAATAATATATTTGCTCGCGCCAATTATGCATCCAAGAGACTCGGTAACCACATCTTTTGATGCAGTGCTAGTTGAGACTTCTTAATTGGCTTGCAAGAGCTAGTACTGCGTCTCAGTTCCAAGCTACTTGGGGTCAGCTATATGTAGTTTGCTCCATTTCATTCCAACGTTATGTGTTCCTAGGAGCACGTTCTAATTTTGTGAGGATTCATCATAAACTAACTAGTTTTGTGATAGTTGTCACACCTCACGTGCTCACAATAGTGGTTTAACATATATCCGGGTTTTGGACTGGCAATGTGAGCTCATGTAGGATTCTAAACTCAAAATTTGTTCGACGCATTAGAAAAATTTATCTTCATGTTGCTGTGAAAAATTTCCATCCTTAAACATCGATAGTGCTCATGGAAAAATGAGAAAAGAATCGGGAAATAACAGGATTACCGAAATTATTGGTTTTCCTGTGTAGTTTGCCATTAGATACAATGTAGGTTGTAGATCCTTTAAGCAACATTTGACAGCCTTTGATAGGTAATCGTTATGGATTGTCATACATAAATCCCTTTATTAAACAACTTGTTTTATTCTCAATTCAGATACTCTTTCAGCTTGTCAGCCAGCTCAAGCTTTTCACAGACAGAAGTCCACGTTCCAGTGCTGCTCAGCTGTCACATTACAAGATAAAAGGTAACTTAACTTTTAACCAAAATGTCAATCTTTTGTAGCTGAAATAGAAAATATTTTCAGGGTTTGGGAACAGAAAGTAAATATATTGCACTATGAGGACAATATGAAGCGCAGATCTCTCTTGTTTTTTCTGATTACATCCGGCATATCTCCCGCTCTCCCAGCTTCTGGGAAAACAAAGAGCAAAAACCCGTATGATGAAAGACGCTTACTAGAGCAAAACAAACGGATCCAAAGAGAAAATAATGCCCCTGAAGAGTTCCCCAGTTTCATCAGAGAAGGTTTGTTTGTCCACCCATGAGACACCGTGTGAGTGGAAATGACCATGAACTAGTTTTTAAGACATCAGTAGTTTGACTTACCATTTCCTATTTTGATATCATGGTAAATTATAATGTGAATGTGATTCTTTGAATCCTTTTTCAGGTTTTGAAGTTAAAGTAGTTACGTCTGATAACTACATAAAGCGTGACTCAGGTCTTATATTGTGGGATATTGTTGTTGGTGAAGGTGATTGCCCGAAGGATGGCCAACAGGTTTTCTTTCATTCTTTGTTACTGAAAAGCTGTGATCTGCTTTTATTAGAATGTCATTAATTTTAAATACATCCATGAATCATTGGGAAACAAGTATATAATGGTACCGGAGTTCGTCTTTTACGTTCATACATTGCTCTAGCGGAGTCTTGGAACCGATATGGTACATTCACAATAAAACAAAGCAAGACGAAATGCATTTAATTTCCTTTTCCTATCCTTCCTTTTTGTATATTCCTTATAATTAATTTGTATGTTACTGCATTCAAGAGTTTCATTTGGTCTTCTAGAAACTCTCACTGCACAGGCGATGGTGTCTTGGCTTTTACTATTATAGTTTGTAATAAGATGATTCTTGGATGTCTATATTATGGGAATAATGCTGAATTTCAAGAAACCAAAACTGGATGCTCTGCCAGTCTCTGAAGAAATTAATGTATCACAATCGTTCTGAATTCTATTTTCCTTCACAGAGATGTGACTGTTTTAAGTATTATGCAGTTATTCTGACATATGCATGGTTGATAAACACAAAAGAGCTGACTCGGGCTCATTAAACTATTGCTAAGCTTGGTTGGGCTTGGTTCAACTGGACACCTAGGCCTAGTAATGATCCTTTTCATAGTTCACTTAATTTACAAAGAATAAAAGACAAATGGGATTTATTATCTTAATAGGTATTCCTATTACAAATTAAAAGGGAACAAAGAAAGGTTTACTAGCATTAAAATGATAACGGACTGCTTGTTGCTGATTCTTTGAATTGCTGCCTGCTTGTTGCTGATTCTTTGAATTGCTGCATTCATTATCACCAATATTTTTTTTTACTCCGTTGGCAGGTGACTTTCCACTATATTGGTTATAACGAGTCTGGACGTCGTATAGACAGTACATACCTTCAAAATGCTCCTGCAAAGATTCGGATGGGCACCAACGCATTGGTCCCAGGTGATCTAAGCAAACACACAATGTCATAACCTTTTTTAACTCTCAGATATGAGAAAATTTTGCAGTAATATGAAGAAAAGGATGAATGCAGGTTTTGAGGAAGGAATTAGAGACATGAGACCTGGCGGGAGAAGGAGGATTATCATACCTCCAGAACTAGGACCACCGGTAAGTGTCCTTAAATCTGCTCCTCAATTGAATGCTTTTATAATTAGTATCGTTTAAAGCTGCTATGGAATAAAACTAAGCATTTAGACGTGCTCGCATTGTGTTGCGTTCTTCCAATATTATTTATTTGATAAGAATCTATTTCTGATACTGCTAACTAACAGAAGCCAAGGAAGCTCTTAATACTTCTTTTGCTCGCGTTTGTAATTGCTTTCGTCTCCCTCAGCCATTTACATAGTGTGATTTAAGTTGGAGTACTCCTTACTCAGAGAACCTATATATATGTTTTGCCACTTTAAGGATAAGTTCCTTGTAAGCTTGGAGTTATTAGGAACTCAAAACTACCAACAGAAACCTTTTTTTTTTTTATCGGTAACTACCAACAGAAACCTAGATGTAGCTACTGTTCTAATCAAGTGGTTTAACAGGATTCAGTTACACATTAATTTTGAAAATTATTGATAATACATGTGATTCTATCAATATATTATACGATGTTGAGTAACTGACTTTGGCGGTATAATACATCCTTATAAAGTATCTATATCTTTGTATATTATGAAGAACAAATTGCAGTTTTGGTTCTTGGTTTACAGACGTCGTGCTTGATTTGTCTTACTTTTTGAATTGTGCGCATAGTATGCATTTCTTAAAGCAACATAAATAAGTGGAACCTCTTTCTACATTGTTATTTTGGTTGAGAAAACATCAGTTGCCATGCAAATGACCCATTTAGAAGGAATCTAGAAATTTTAAATTGCATGTTCTAAAAACTAAGTGAAGATTTAAAGTCCTATAGGCATGGTTTCTAGGTGATTCTGGAGACTCAGGATCATTAGCATTGATTTTATAAATAGGAGTCTTAGGTGAATGACACTATCCTATAAGCATGATTTCTAAGTTGTTGCGTAATAGGCATTGAAAGTTATTAAAGACTGGGAATTACGGACGTTTGATTCTATAGACATGCTTTCTAGGCGGATAACAGTGTTCTATAGGCAAGATTTCTTATCAATTGATATTTGAACTTCTTGTCATCATATATTCCTATAGGCATGCTATCTAGGTGGGAGTATAATAAAACAGCAGAAGTAATTGATTAAGAGACTAGTGTCCTATAGTCATGATATCTGGATGGGCAACACAACTAAGTAATGAAGCAATTTGATCAATTAATTATTTGAAGTCCTATGGACATGACATCTAGGTTAACAAAAAAGCATATAATATGCATCCTATAGGCATGCTATCTGGGTTTTGGATACTGGATGGTTAAGTTGGAAAAAAAACGTTGAAAATCACGTTTGGAGCCACTCTTACGCTATTGTATTTCTCAGACTAGGGTGAAATTTAGTAGTCTATTGCAGACTTTGATTATAGTTCCAAGTAATATATGGCCTTTGATATTACACTGTTTGGAAGTTAAAACTTGCACAAGAAGAACGTATCTTGATATTTTAGAATTATTCATGTTTCACAGGTTGGGCCTTCAACGTTTTTTAGCTCAAAACAGTTTGAAGTATTTGACGTGGAATTGCTAGGCATTCAAGACTGCAAACGGAGGACAATAGCAGGCTTCTACTCTGATGTTGTCTGCAATTAAGCCCCTTCTGTGAATATTTTAGTCACATCTTGTATCATTATTATCAGAAGAAGAGACTTGTTTTTTTTTATTTTTCCCTTTCATTCTTTTACGGCAAATAGAAAAATGGAAGATAGAAAAGACTGTAGTGTAGAGATCACAAGGTAGTTCCGAATCAGTAACTTTTTCACTGAAAGTAACAGGAGACTATCCTACTGTCTCGATTAAAAGGTTAATGTTTGCTGAGAAATCTTGTATTTGTTGTATCTATAAAGCAAAACAAGAGGCAAGAATGGGCCTATAGAACTACTTGTGCTTACCTTTCTCTAGTATGCATCGGTAACTGAATGAACTCCTTGGATCGTCGAAAATTTAGGAGGAAATAACAGTGAAGTGAAACTTTTTAGAACGCAACCAAGCACTATGTTAATCCTAGCTACTATTTAGGTGAGAATAGTTCGTGTCCAGCCAAACTGCATCACGTAAAATGGGATGAAGTGAGAAACAATTCTCATACTAAATGTACATGAATATGAGTGTTTGCTTCCCAACCTTTTTTCGCCCGAAATGCTCTTTTCTTATGTTGGAGGTTAAGTTATTGTTACAAATAAACCATCCACTCTTTTGGCATCTCCGTCGATTGTCCAGTAATCTCTTCTTTCTCAAAAGGAAAAGTCGGAAGTGAAGTATAATAGAACATGTCCTACTTTAAATTCGATCAATAAAAGAAAAACCAAAGCAATTGATGGCAAATTAGCCGCCCAAGTGGAAAGAAGCATATATTACTATACCAAACGAGATTTGAAACCAAAACCAGAAATTCTTATCACCTTGCTGGCAAACACTCTAGTGCACCTAGAGAAAGAGCAAACTGATCTGAAGGAAATTAGACAGCGTTCCTACCAAAGTAAATAAACTAAACCTGCAGATTAGGTGCTAACTGAAACTCAAGGACTTCACAGGTCCACAACTCCATAGATCCATATTATACTTTCAACTTGCTCAGACAGGAAAGGAGTCAATGTCAGCATTTGATTGAAGCATGAGTTCGGCGAGAAAATATTCATGACTGACCACACCAATAATCCAAGGAACAAGAAATACACAAAGGTTAAGAGGTGAGGATTTACACAATAATGGCAATATCAGTGAATTAATCTCTAACCATGGTCCTTAGTCTGAAATTAATCCAGAAAACTGTTGCTGTAATCTAGAATGCAACACATAAACCAGAAACAATTTAAGGAAGAAACTATAAAGTCGCAATTGTCCACGGCAATAAGATTGCATGTGGTTTTTTTTATCTGTAAACAATACAAGTTTAATTGAAATCCAGAAGGAAGATGGTGCTGTACAATTACAGTGTATTTATCCAAAAGCAGCACCAAGCTTTCCGACAGCACTAAGCTCAAGTGTAGTTCTTAATCAACAGATTACAAATAAATCTACATATATATACACACACATGGAACAACAACATTTGACGAATGCAATTTTATCTGGCTTGAAATTTGAATGGGAAATGAGAGCTCCTCCAATTCTTGAGGATATTGCGTCAAGATTCTTACAGTTGATAAAATTGTAATCAAGGTTGATTGAAAACCATTAGAAGCTTAATCATGGAGCTTCTTCTGCAGGTGCCCTATGGTAAATAATTGATGTTTTCGAACTTAGAGGATTGGCATGATATTGTCCATAACCCGCATAAATTCCAACTGTAACTATGCTGAGAACAACAAATCTCACCCATGCTTCATGATGCAACTGCAGAAAAGGAAATGGAAAAATGAGCTCGGATTCCAATGTTTTAGTTTATCGCATCCGACATATTTGAACTATGTTTATGGTAATGGATGAAGCTTTGTGAACAAACCTGGGCAAAAAGAAAAATATTGATGAAGATACAAACAATAGGCACAATGGGCACTCCTGGGCAAGAAAATCCAGGTGTATCACTATAAACCTGTGAAGAACAAAGGAGAACCTGAAATTTAGAAAACAATGCTATACACCATTGTGGCAAAATATAACCTGAAATTAAGAAAACAATGCTAAATAGGTAAGACATTCTTTTGGTAATGTGCCGTCGAATGATGCATGTATGAGTTTTGCAATGTTGTCTTAATTTTGGGTCCTAAAATGGATAAAACCCTCGACAATGTTGTTGTCTTAAGATAAGATTAGGAATGAAGTTATCCTGGATAAGGTGGGAGTGACTCCTATAGAGGGTAAGATGCGGGAATTTAGGCTGAGGAGGTTCGGGCATGTGAAGAGGAGAGGCATAGAGGCCCCCGATTAGAAGGTGTGAGAGGTTGACCATTGCGGGTCTGAGGAAAGACAGAGGTAGGCCAAAGAAATATTGCGGAGAAGTAATTAGGCAGGATATGACATTACTTCAGCTTCCTAAGGACATGACCCTCAATAGGAAGGTGCGGAGGTCAAGAATTAAGGTTCAAGGTTAACAGGTAGTCAAGAGCTTTTCCTAGTCTTACCAGTAATGTTAGTACTATTCTTGTATTTTCTTATTTTTAGATCTTTATTTCTATCTGCTGTGTTGTTTGCTCCAGTTTCTTATTACCTTTTTTTTAGGTAATATGTCCTCGCATGATGTATATATGAGTTTTGCAATGTTGTCTTAACTTTGGCCCCTGAAATGGATAAAACCCTCGATGGGATAAACCCTTGACTTGTCCTAAGATAAGATTAGGAATGAAGTTATTCGGGATAAGGTGAAAGTGACTCCTTTAGAGGATAAGATACAGGAAATGAGGCTGAGGTAGTGAGCATGTGAAGAGGAGAGACACAGAGGCCCCAGTTAGGAGGTAAGAAAGGTTGACCATGGCAGGTCTGAGGAAAAGTAGAGGTAGGACAAAAAAGTATATGGGAGAGGTGATTACGTAGGATATGACATTGCTTCAGCTTACCGAGGACATGACCCTCGATAGGAAGGTGTGGAGGTCGAGAATTAGGATTCAACGTTGACAGGTAGTCGAGAGTTTCTCCTAGTCTTTCCAATAGTATTAGTACTATTCTTGTATTTTCTTATTCTTAAATCTTTATATCTGTCTGCTGTGTTGTTCGCTCCTGTTATCTTATTACCTTGGTTTTTTTTTTTTTTTTTTTT